TATATCATAACTTCTATCCGTGCGACAAAAATCAAATTTTAAGACCACCATCGGAACCAGAAAAAATTATTGATAATAGCTAGCTTGACTGGTAGAAGAGAAAGGACCATTTCTCAACGAAATTTTATCAGATTTCAGAAAAATGATATGGTTGAGCTTCTCTTGAGCAGTTTCGTTGATTCCTAAATGCTTTTTTGAAAAAATTTTGAACAAAAAGTTTGATTATGGAAAAAAATGTTTATCATAGCATTTTAATAGAATGGAACTTGTACGATAATAATTTTTTAATCAAGAATTTAAATGATCAAAATGGTTCCAATTATTTTAAAAAATCTATATAGGTTCATTTGAACTTCCTAAATGCTTTTTTTGAAAAATTGTTGAACAAAAAATTTATTTATCGCAAAAAATAATTATCATAGCATTTTCATAAAATAAAAATTGTATGATAAACATTTTTGTCAAAAAACAAAATGAAAAATGGGCCAACTTGATCTGATTTACCAAAAAACGAATCAAATTTGTTTAAACTTGCCAAAAAATTTCATTTTAAAGGTTTTACTGAAAAAAAAATTAAAATTTTACTGATGATTTGTATTAGATGTACTCAAGCAAAATCTCAATTTGCATTTAACTGTCTGTTTTATATAAAAGCAAAGTAACTGTTTGTTTTTCGCATCAAGGTTAACATTAATTAAATTGTTATCCTATTATGACATTATGATTGGGTTCAGAGTTATTCTTTATAAAAATTTCAAGTTATGCTTGGAGAGTGTCACAGTTTTGATTGAGATTTGACAACTTTTTCCTTGGATTTTTTTTGAAATATCAGAGTATACCACTAGCCAAATTGTATAATCTGTAGATTTTTCTCAAACAGATTTATTCAAATTAAATGAACTCTGCGGGTTTTCATCAATAAATGCGGTCTGCAAAATTGGCATCGTACGCGGTAATTTTGTGACATTGATGGCATGCTTGAAGTAATTGCTCGCAATAGGCATTTTTAAAAAGAATCATTAACCTTCAATAATTGTATTTGAAAAGAGTTAAAGCAATTACATTCCGAGTGATTGGTTTTATTTTTCGAGGGAATAGTTCGGAAAGCAAGTCGTTAAAAGTACTTCAGTTGTCTACTCAATTAGAATACATTTTTCTTAAAGAACTTCTTTATCAAAATCTTATATATACTAGTATCGAGGTTTTTCCATTAGGAAAATTCATTCAGATAAGTAATACTAAGTAATGTTTCTATTATAAAACTTCAAAAAAAAACGTCATTTTCGTGGTATTTGAAACTCAGCAGGACTTAACAAAGTGTAACAAAACTGCTCGTATATCAAAGCCCTGGTTTTTCACGTTGCATTTTAGGGCATTATAAAAGACTTTTGGTTGAAAAAATGTTTTTTTTTCATTGTTCCAAAATTTATCACCCCCACTTTCTAATGTAAACTAAAAAGCGATACATTTATCGTAATCTAATAGCACGACCAAATGACTGGCCTTATTACAATTTGGAACGCATCAATCTGTCACTTAAGCGTGTTATGAGAACGCAATATTTTGCTCGTTAATTATCTCAATTTGACCAAGTTATCAATTCTTAAACCCCCATAATTTTGCGAAAAATGATCGCAGGTTAAATATGTTTATCAATATAAGCTCAAAAAAACAACTTTCTTCAGATGGTATAGAAAACTTGTCAGAAAAGATTAGCTAAAAAGTGGAAAACTGACTGAATAAAAAACCACCCCAAAAAATCCGCCCTTTCTTCGAAAATAAGAAGACAAAAACTTAGAAATGGTAAATCCATGCTATTATAAGCTCGAAATCTCATGTAAAAATTTTTCAAGCCTAATTTAGAGTGAAAAGAAAAAATTCAAAATGATAATATTGAGCTCATTCGCTGATTAAAACTCGTAGAATTTTAATATTTAAGTTGTTTTACACGATCGTTCGACATTTTGTTGCGTAAACTTTATTTTAGATAGAAAAGACGGTCCAACAAACCAAGTTTTGGAACATAATAGGCCGAAATATTTATGATAGCAGGAGGCCGTGCATTGATAATTCGACAAAAATTCATAAAAATTTTCAATTGGAGTTTTGTGCAAGTTGATTCAAAATTTCAGCACACTTTTTTTGAATTTTCATATTGGTGGTATAAAAGTGTTTTTTTTTCTGAAAACCAAATCGCATACAAAGGCAAATTGCGAAAATCAAAAAGTGTAGATTAACTGCTAAAGTTATACCTGGCTGAAAAAACATGTATGCATTTTAAGCCAGTTATGGTAACGCACATATGGTACTCTAGACTTTTTGTTTATTATCATAATCGCATTGTACGCAATTTAGTTTTCAGAAAAGAACATGCGATGTCATACCTTTGATATGAAGATTCGAAAATTTTGAAAGTTAATCTGAAAATTTAAAGAAATATTTTAGTAACCATTGGGACAGAAAAACTATGTTGTCGAAAAATTCTTTTTGTTTTTACTATTGTTTGACTGCCCTCACATTGACATCAAGTGTCCTTTCTTTAGGTTTCTCGTTTCCTGGCAGCGTCCGATTTAGAATATCACATAACTTCAGCATTTTGTTTTCGAACAATACAATTAATCTTGCATCTTACAGCAAGGCATTCATTACCAATATGCTCAATTCCATGTCTTGATTGTTAAAAAATTACTACTCGATCAATACAGTAGTATCAGTTTTAGACGGAGAGTAGTGGGGGGGGGGGTTTAATGGCAGCAGTTCAATCGTCTGCAGTTACCCTCGCAATTCGGTACTGTTGTAAGTGGCTACACTCGCCACCCCGACTTCTGGTATTATTTTAGGCGAACATCCAGTTCTAGCCAACCAACACTTATTTCTTAGTAAACTCGCATCTGACACGAATATTTAGGAATTTGATAGAGGAGCGCACGCCCAAAAACACATTTTTTTAATCAATATTTTCCTCAAGTGCAATATTTCATTAATTTGAGAAAATTATTTACAGACGACAAAGAGCAGTCAAATTGTTCAGGATTTCGCCCTGATACGAGCAGTTCTGTTGTTTTCAAGCTTGGCTTTGTAACACTCAATGCAATAACTTATATATAAACATTACAATAGCTGATTGGAACCTTCAGGGCTTGGTTGAAAAAAATATCCTCCTGTAAGTTTTTTATGCAGCACTCCGTCCATTGGAGTTCTAGGAAAAATATATATAATTATTTCTCTTGAAAATTTTGTCCTTTTGCAAAACGTTGTTCTTCAGACTTGGTCAATGATTGACAGGCTTTTTAATAAACAGTTTGTTTCGGAACTGGCATACATGTTTGCAGTACGTATCATTCCGATTGTCGGTTGTGCGCATTACACCTTCCAAAATGAACGAACTAAAAATCGGCAATCAATTTTATAATGGTCAAGAATCTACTGGCATTCTAAAATTGGACCGAATTTTTCATTTTTTTGCTTAGAAAAATTGGTGCGCACAGGGCTTAGTCTAGAATCCAGTTTCTTTCCGTTCGAATACTGGATATATCGAAATAAGTGTGTTTGGAATGTTCTAATCAATAATCCTGTTGTAGTGAATTGGTCGACAAGTTTGTGATCTGAAAACGAATTAACTTTTATCCAAAACTTTCTCAAAGGCTATAAAATGCCCTGGGTGAAATTGATTTAAAGTGATATGTTTTCAAAACTAACAACCTTAGGGCGTTTTCAGTTTGAAATCGGATTCAAGAGTATTTGTGTTTTTAACTTCATTTTATTTCCACAACGAATACTAGTTTTGACCAAATCCTAAAACCTGAACTGAGAATTGAGTTCCGTTACCAAATAAGTCAGTTATTTCTTCTGAAACATGAAAAATTTGGTTTTTGATCATTGACAATTTTTTCATCACGTTTCGATTGTTTATTTTCTAAAAGCGATGAACTGTCTTTGTTGTAAATAGTAATTTTAGCTTCAAGTTATTTTGCGACGCGAGACAAATTATGGTGTTGCAGAGCGCAGAGGTATAAATCAAAGTCAGATCGACGTGTTTATAAGATTTCCGCAAAATTACGTGAACGCTTTTTTGGAGTTTTTGGCTGGAATTCGTATTTTCGGCTCTCAAATTTACTGGGAGCGCTCTTTTTCAGCCACTAAGCTTCAAATGAATGAAAAATCATCATATTTCAAGTGAAAAATTTTGTGCATATTACAGTAAATGCGTTTATTTTCATTTGAAAATCTCAATAATTAATCAGATGTTTTGATGAACGTTTTAAAAATAACGAGCTGTGCTGTTTTTTCATGAGATATTTTTTAACTTCAGATATATTTTCAAGCGCACTATGATTGCCTATTATAATCGGCAATTTTGTGACCGAAAAATGAAAATTTGCATATTTCATATCAATCACTGGGATATTTACCAAGGATCGATTATCTAATCGAATCAATTTTCTGCTCTTAATTGAAATGTTACGAGGTGAAAAAAACGCCTTGCTGTTTTCGTTGTCGCTTTTATGAAGTGCGTCTATTTCTTATTTCGCTACAAGAGTGTTCTTATTTGTCTTTGATTGTAATGTTCTGCACTTTCCATTAAGTGATGATAGTTTTGAACCATTTTTCTTTTTGAAAAGTATGTTTGTTCACTCCATCCAAATAAGAAACAAACAAAGAAATTTTTTGTATTTCCGACTTCAAACTCAAATAGCTTCGAAAACAATTTTTTAGCAGCAATTTTTCTCTCAATTCTTATTCTAGATGTTTTTTTTATGTTTTGAGCAAGAAAAGGACTATTTGTATTTTGTAATATATAAATACGGCCATACTATAAATTATAATGATCACAATTATAGTTAACTCAATAGTGCGGCTTGATACTATGGTTCACAAATTGTTATCATTACGCTTGAACTTCCCTACTTGAAGATGAAAATAATTTTTATTAATTCTTTGTGCCTTCAAATAAGTAGTCTATTTTATGAATTTTTATTCTCTTGGGATCTTGAAGAACATTTTACAGGTTGATTTTCTTGTCCTTTTGCCTGAATAAATGCCTTTTTTTCAGACGAATATTCGCCAAATGAAAATATGTCACTTACCATTTTTTACTTACCACGCTTTGTGTCCACCCGAATTTACGCTTTATCTTTTTATGGAATTAAAACAAGCATTGAGAAAAAAATTGATTATTTTATGTCGAATTTGCATCAAGAAATATTTTTAAATAGTGTACTGAAGTCTTGAAGCAGAACAGGCTGAAAAATCAGTCTGAAAATCAACTTCAAATGCAAAATAGGCTCGTCAAGGGCCTAAAACAGGACCCCAATCCATTGATTAAAACAAGTGTCCCTTCTTCAAATTACAAATCTGGCACCCTTTCTTCTCATTCAAGGTAAGAAGCACCAAAAAACGGAATATTTTTGCAAGAAAGTATAAAAAGTGATCCATTTGTCTGTCTTGCACCGTAGTCCGACCCCCTTCTGAAAGTTATTTTTCACGCATAATCACAAATTATTCATTTTTATTACCTGTCAGCCGGTAGTTTATTTTGCTCTCAGAATCTATAACTTTTGACTCAAGAAAAGCATTTGATGAAAAGTGGAAAAAAGTCCCAAAATAGTCATGTCTTGGTACAAAAGCGTCTTTGATTTTTTTTGAAGAATCTGATAACACTGTTGAAGCTCCCGCTCTCAAACGTTAACCTTTGTAATGCTTTCATAGTAGCTGTATCCAAAAAAAAACAAGAAAATTCTGATCATTTTGACCGCGATAAAGCTGAAATATGTCATATTCGATTGTAAAATTGTTCTTTTTTTGCTTCAAATATACTCCCTCCAGATGCTAGATCCGACAAAATAAAAAGATCAGAAAACTCTGATCATCAGAAAATTCATCAAGAAATCATCAGAAAATTCTGATCATTTTGAAGGCGATAAAGCTGAAATATGTCATTTTTGATTGTGAAAATGTTCTTGTTTTTTTGCTTCAAATTTACTCCCTCCAGATGTTAATCCGACAAAATAAAAAAAACGCCATTTTTTTTCGACGCCATTGATTTTGCAATTCAAAGTTCTGTGAGAATATATCGAGTAAAAAATAGTCTAGCTTTTTCAGTCGTGATTCGAATGAAATTAAGCCTTGTCTCAATGTCAAGGAAAAAAGGTTAGAGCAATTAACTTTGAACGAATAAAGGTATCGTCAATTTGATACCACTAATTTTAGCCATTGATTTTGCAATTCAAAGTTCTGTGAGAATATATCGAGTAAAAAATAGTCTAGCTTTTTCAGTCGTGATTCGAATGAAATTAAGCCTTGTCTCAATGTCAAGGAAAAAACGTTAGAGCAATTAACTTTGAATGAATAAAGGTATCGTCAATTTGATACCACCAATTTTAGCCATTGATTTTGCAATTCAAAGTTCTGTGAGAATATATCGAGTAAAAAATAGTCTAGCTTTTTCAGTCGAATGAAATTAAGCCTTGTCAACAAATTAAGCCTTGGACTAAGCTTTAGCAAGAACTAGCATTTTAGCTCTACTAATGATGTGAACGACATCTCTTCGGAAATTACAGATTGCGATAAACATCTGTGCGGCAAAGTTTCATTAAAATATTACTTTTCAGTTTTGAAAGGAACGAAAAATTCAAGATGAATTTTTATATTTTCAAATCTCGAAAATATTATGAGAAGAGTGAAGAAAAATCTAACTACAAATAACATAAAAAACTGAAAATTAAATTTAAATGGTATTTTTGTAATATTAAAATTTTAAATGGTTCATCGAACGTATGATACTTAAACTGTTTAAATCAGGGTTATTATTGAAAAATTAATGGTATCAAAATTTCAAAAACACAGAAGCAACCAGAATAAGCATTGTTTTGCCCGCAATATCGAAGAAAATTTTTTTTTTCAAAAATCATGCCACAAAGTTATTACGCAATCAGACAGTAAAGAGTTCTAACTGTTCCAATCTTTCTTTCAATTTGTTGATATAATATTTTCAAGAATATGATATAAAAATTTTTCTGACAGGATTTTTGCTAAAAAAGGATAAAGTCTTCGACAAAAACGCTTTCTCCGTTTTATCTGCCCACACGCTTCAAAGAAATGTGTTAACCCCCTTAAGGTACAAAGAAATGTGTTTACCCGCGTTTAAGTAAAGCGAAAACAAATTCAGTCATTTTAGATTTTTGTGGTTTAAATGTTGTCAACAAAATTAATTCGTATGCTACCCTCAGACAACAACATGCTTCAATTATAAGATCAAGTTATTTATAATTCATTTGAAATCAAATAAAACGGGTTTTCTTTCAATTTATTTCTGCAAACTGTTTATACAGACGTATCTACATGCATACAAGCATAATGAGCTCTATTTTGGACTAAGCTTTCCAAAATATGTTCAAAGGCTCTTTTGACCTACGATTCCAAAATTTTGTCTGCAGCGCATAAAACTGCATCAAAATCTATACTTCAAAGGTTTTTTTATAGCTCAAAAAATTTTAGCAATTCCTAGATTCTTCCCTGCAAGCATAAAAACATAAGGACATCAATTTATTAAATTTTTATCCCTTCACTTTTGACGAATCATCCAGTTGTGCCTAAATAAAGTAAGAAAAAAGTGTATAAGAAAAGGAAGAGTAACAATTTAGAATTGCGCAGAAAAAAATTGAAATTGGACAACGTGAAACTTTAGTTAAATAAATGCAAACGACTTTGAGTGAAAACAGAAGAAGAACAATTTTCAATGATTTAATTACAACAGTTTTTAATGTTTCATTACATAATAGCACTATAATCCATTATAAAATTGTTAATATAGGTTACTTTTTGAATTTGTAGACACTGATGATGAAATTCAAACATAATCATTTTTTATCTATGGAAATCTAGCGCGGCTGGCGAGTCGTATGACGGAAACATGACCAAATGACTTGCCTCCATTCATCTTGGAACGATTTAAGAGCGTTGTGAGAACGCAATGTAACGCGCGTTAATTCACCCAAATCGGCAAAACAAATAGTTTTTAAACCCCCATAAGTTTTTGAAAAAAAAATCAGAGATGAAATTTATTTTTGCTTTGAGCTCCTGTTCACAATATCTTGAAGATGGTCAGGTTCGGATTTGGGGGGGGGGGGGTAGACCCTTTGCTGTTTCAAAGGGTCCAGACTTTGGTGTTTATAAGCGTTTAAGCGTTCCATTTTTGACCGACCGACCCAAGAAATTTTCTAAAGAGGCTTTTGGCGCCAATTTATACTAATTTTGAGGGGTAGCGCGCCAAAAAACGCGGTTTTTTTGGTGAAAATTTTTCAAAAAGTGCCCAAAACCGCTTTTTTGACTTGTTTTTCATAAAATTGACTGCGGTGCAAAACATGCTGTCGAAATAGGGTAATCCTTGTAGTGTGTTCTGGTAGCGCTCGGAAACTCAATTTGGTCAACCTTACAAACGGTTGACAAAACTTTCAAAAAGGCAAGGTTAAAAATAGCCTATAGACTAAAAAAGTTTGAAAAAAATGTTTTGATTGAAATTCGTTTTTTTTGACGAGTGCTCTTTCAAAATTTAGGGTATATTGGCACAGGGCATTGGGTAGACATCACAGATAGGTCAAGTTTCCATTATGAGGGAAAACATTGTAACCATCCGAGAAACAGCTGTGCTAGGCAAAGAACCAACAGTTTTCTTAAATTAAGTCGAAAATACGTTTTCTTCAATTTGTTTAATGCTTAACCGATGCAATAGTTCTTTATAAGCGGCACTTTTTTATCTAGAAGCCATAATGGCGAGGTGGGAAAAACTTAACAAGATCCAGCAAACTATTGTAGAACGCTGTTATAATTTCATTTTCTTTTTCTTGCTTCGTTTAAAAACATTAATATTTCCTTAAAAGAGCAGATCTAAAATGCGAGAGCTTAAACAACGTAATTTCTAATTTCAAGTTAAGCCAATTTCAATTAACTGGGTATTATTTCTCGCTAATTAATTCAATGAGCAGTGACGCTGTCGTATTCACTTCGATTACGTCACCAGTGAATTTTTTTCAGTTTATCCAGTTTTTTCGTTAGAGAAGCAACTGAAGTGTTTTGTTTTTGTTATTTACATTTTTCTTTCTATAGTTTGACTAGAGCGCTATTTGTCACTTGTGATTTCAAACCATCTCCACAGAGTGTGACTTTAGTTTTTTTGGTTTCTACCCCCCCCCCCCCCCCAAAACCGCAAAAACCGGAGAATAGCTTGTTTGACGTGTTTCACGAGTGTTCTGAAAATTTGGAGTGCGGCCAAAAGGTAGACTTGTCAAAAAAAAGACGACAATCAGAATCGAGATAGGACAACAAACGTGCAAAATATTTTTTCTTTTTTCGATTTTGATTGGCTTACGACGTGTCAACTTTATGAAATCTGTGCTTTTTGCTACAGAACTTGAAAATTCAAACACGAGTGGACGATAGTAGGTCAACAGCATTTTTATAGAGCACCTTTCAATTATCTTCACTCTCAGATTTAATAAGTTCTCCGATGAAAAAAATCGTCTTTAGTCTTTTTTTGTATGTTTCTGAATCAGTTTTCAATAACCACATCGAATCAACTCATCGAAACAAATCTTGCTTTTTGTTTTTTAAACTAAGCATTCATTTTAATCTTCCCTTCATGGTAGTTTGTTGCATTATAAGGCACACGCCCACGTTTTTTAATGTATTTCTACAAAAATTCTTAGATACTCGCTAATTTACTGACTGCGTCTTTTGAGCATAGAGCTAATATGATTCACCCCAATTAGAGGGAAAAAATGCCCACCAAAAAACTTTACTGTGTCTTTCTAACTCCTGCATCGGATTTTCATAAATAAAAACTGATTTTAAAGGAAAAATGTATTCCAAAAGGTTCATTATATTCCATTATTTTTGCACATTATATTGTCATTATAATCGATTACTTCGGTAAAAACACAATCCAATAAAATACTTTATAATGGATTGTAATCCCTTAAAAAGCTATTACTATGAGACGTGAGCAAACGGGGGGACGGTTGGGTGTAATTGGAAGCAGAGGGTATGTGTGGGGGGGGTTTAAACGTAGGCGAGGGTAGTGTCATATGCTGGAGGAATGACATGGAACTTAAAATCTGTTGAGATGCCAAGAAACATGAACTGATTTACTTGAACTTAATCTTGAACTCTAGACATTAAATAATTGATACCAGACTAATGAGACGGTGCTACCATAATAAATACCAGTCAGCATCGTTGCTCACTTTACTCACTCTAAATTCATTCATCCCTTTCCTGCGACTTCGACTACCAACTACTGAATTCAAACTTCTACCATTCTTTCATCAGGTTATGGGCCCAGTGCCCTGATACTTCAAGTTACATCTTCTGCCTTCCTCGCTG